GGTGTATTCCAGCTATTTAAATGCTATGCAAAGTGTAACTCTATCAAGTTTTCTTTAAACACAAACGTTCTTTTTACCGTTATATGAATTATATTTCCTTACGCAACGTTACACCTGAATCTTCCGGCATGACGTGCAAAGCAAGGTATTTATATCATCCACAATATCATGTAGAATAAATCTCGAAATCACGAAGCATAAAACTTATGTTTTTCACCTTATAATAATTGTTCACTTAATTATTATTTCTTAACTGTACATCTAGCAGCAGGGCTTTACTGGTATTGCTATTTACATAATGTACAGTAGAGGCACGATTTACTGAACTAATTTTTATTGTAATTCATACGGATAGTAAATAATCTTCATAATTGAACTTGTAAGGAAGTTTTGTAGATACTAATTTTCTCTATTAACACTAAACAAATTTAAGCATTTCTGGTTATTATTTCCTCTGTTTGTTTTTCTTCTGTTCATTTGTGTATAGCTCAACCTCTAGTAACTCTATTTTATGTTCTAAAATAAATAAGGTACCTACTAGATCCAAAAATTATTATAATCCAGTCATTATAGTAAGTTCACCTCGTAATTTGAGTTATCCAACTGTAAGTCTGTAAATACTTGTATATTGACACCCTAAAATTATCTTAAAACCCTACATATGGTAGGTTGCATATAATTTTCTTTTTCATTGCATATAATTTATATTTTATTTGGTCGATATGATTCAATTATATAATTTTAAGAAAATTACGATTATTGTCACCAGAAGAGTGTTGAAAAGATTGCGTAATGAATTTGCACTACACAATTTGCTGTTTTGAATCTTACAATAATTTTCTCTGATTTTATTGGCAAAATAATAGCAAAAAAAATTGAAATTTATCAATAGTATCAGAAAACATTTAATTCATCTTATTGAAAATGATATTGTGATACATTTATTATGTAAATTAAGATGAATGATCAACCACAGTTTCGTCATATATTGTCCTTGCATGTTTACATGTGACTCATGTCAATTATCTACGTATTCATATGCAAATGTGTGATTATATATATATATATATATATATATATATATATATATTATATATATATATATATATATATATATATATATATATAATCACAAGTTGTACTCGAACCATTAGATGAATATTTGAAATATGCCAAGGTATGTCCATTGTTAAATAAACGTGTTATACAATATTCTAGTACTTGTTTCTTCTGTCGAATATTTGTTCTTTTCATATATTAAACGCAATAATATTTTGAATTCTTATAAGAATCCCACAGACATTATTGGAGACAATAATAAACAGACAATATTTTTGTACCAAAATAATTCGATTCTGAGAAAGTTTAACATCTTCTTTCTTTCAACTAAACTATTCACATTGATTCGTAGTCGTTTCAGAGAAATTTTAATGTTCGATTACTTTTTCCTGAGAAGACAACTCAGATATTTCCAAGAAATAATTCCAAAGGATATCAAATTCATAAATAATATTGAAAAATTCGATTTTTTGTAGAAAATACATGTGTCAAATACTTTTTACATAAAGCTTCATGTACTTCAAAGCGTCAGCTTTAATTCGATAGATTTGACATGAATTTCAAAAAGCTTTAATGCACTTACTTATATTTGAGATTTTTCACCTAAACTAATTATTTATTGTTACTGGTCACAATTCAAAAGTATTTGTTGATAAGCAGATGATATAATACTAAGATTATGCCAACTGAACCTATAATCTTTATCTGGGGAAATGTAATAGTAAATTAAATGTTGGCTAATCCAATAGAAGCAATCCAAAAATTTAATGTCATTTACTCATGTTTCCTGGTTTTCATTTTTCGCATAAAAGAGAGCAGTGTTAAACCATGAAAAAATTACGAACGAATTTTCTGTTAATAAATCCCAGTCATGGCTCAAATGTTTGATATTTCAGCGAAAAAAATTATGATGTAAAAAAATATGTTCTGTAATCAATTGCTTATTAGAGCAGATCCTAGTATTTTTTGTATTTTTAAATATTTTCACAATTTTTAATTAAATCAACCATTTTGCTTGATCATTTGTAAAGGACTATACCTTCTCTAAGAACAATACTAATTTATTGTGTAATTTTTCTTATTAAACATGATATGTGCAGTTCGTATGAATTTTAACACTTTGATAACTTCTTTGATATAGCATTTGTTAAGGATCGCGTGTCTGCAAATATGATAACATATTATACATACTAACATCATGAGTTGGAATTCAATAGCATATGATTAAATGTTGTTGTAACATGCTTTTAATGATAAAGATATTCTATTTGGAAGGTGTTTTAACATTTGAGACGATAATCTTGATATATGATATAGGAAATGTAGCGGCTTATAAATGTAACTACAATCACCAAGATATAAAATAGTTATAATAAATAAAACAAGAGATGCTATTATCCAAATTGGAGTACCTACTTGAAAGTCTGTGTTATGTTTAATTGTAATAATTTTGATAATAATTCTAGCTTCGATACCAGATATTGTTCTGAATACTAGATATAGCTTTGCTAAGTCATTCAAATTATCATTATCTTTGATGTATCAATACAAGTTTTCAAGCATATAAGACTTTTAGTTTATTACCATATTTCTAATGTTTCATTAATATGTTGTTCGAGTATTTGATTCTAATTAATTAGCAACACTATTACTAATATTTGGTCGTTTTTTTAGGTTCAGGACAAACTCGAAGACAGGCCCAGGTCGGTGCAGCCAGTAAGCTCAGGTGCAAGTCAATTGGCACGAGAGGTCGCGAACAGATGCCGCTACGCCACTACAAGATACGCCAAAGAACTCCGAGCACTCTTGAACGAACTTCATTTTAAGGTAATTAAGAATTAAAATTGGATTTCAGAGTTCATATTTGTATTAAAATGACAGTTTTTTAGTAGTTTTTCCACCAAATCTTTCATAAGCTTTGCGCAACATCAATAAGTGTGAACATTTTCTCTTGAAGGATCTTTAAGTGGTAGACCTAAATATACACACATGCTATATCTAATAAATAACATATTATAGGCATCTCATGATTTGGTCAATAAAATATCTAAAATAAAATATTGAATATATAATTTTTTGAGGTTTTCTTTTTCTAATAGAATGTATATGATCATTGCTTACTTAATTTAAACAATAATTACATGATTTTATTTGGACAATGTTTTATGTATTGGGTATTATTAGTTGTCGATTGATTTAACGACTTCTGAATTATGAAAAATCTCTCTGTATCTAACTCTACATAAGTATGGAATTATATTTACATGAATATTATATTAAATACTGTTTACTGTACATGAAGAATGTAATTCAGGAATGCCTACTAAATTATCTATTCCGGCTTTAATGATCTTACTACATAGTGAGTATTGGTAAAACACAAGAACATTTATATTAATGGTTAATTGAATTTTTAGCAAAATATACTTTCGTCGCATGATATGAAACATAGTTTAATTGCAAATGAGAAATTTTTTTTCACAGGAATGCTTAAACTAAATTTAATTACAAGCCTCTTGCGTGTTCATTTATTTCATGAAGGTAGGGCGTAAACTTTTATATGACAACATGATTTCTATCATTATATCTATCTACCTAGTATACAATTTAATTAAAAATTAATTATACTGCAACATTTTTTTGAAATTAGATATGTAACGAAGCTATGAGAGTATGATATAGATTAAATTTCATATTCCAATTATTATATACTAAAAAATACTGGAAAAAGATATTGTAAGTGATACATGATTCTATCTATTTTTCGTTTATTGAAGATTAAATATTATTAATTAGTTTAAGATTTGTAATTATATTGAAAATAATAAAAATAACTTTTACTTCTGCTATCAATAATATTATTAGAAGGCATGGAACAGGAATATTACCAGTCCATCTATTCATTATATATTTTCTATTTACTTAGTCTCACAATCTCATTTCTAAATGTAACTTTTTTTTCAAATTACAAAACTTTTATGGCTGTAACCAAAACACACGTTGTTTTAGTAGAATAAAACATTAAACTGATGCAACTCTTCATGAGTTTATTGTATCTGAATTACTTAATTTAATAACCCAGCTAAATTTAATACAGTTCTGATACCATGAGATAATAACATTTTTTTGATCTGCTCCACATGTTATTTCAAGCACATTTCCTAAAATTTCACATTTTTAAACAGTTATTTTTGAAAATATTAATACATACTTTTTTTCATTTTACTTTATTTTAGCAATCAGAAATACGAAAATAATTTCTATGAGCTAAACAGTACATTTAAATAAGTATGATATTATATAAGATAATCCAGTGATATATTTTATTACATACTGAAGATGATCATTGAAAGTATTTACACGCATATATTTAACAAGAGATGATAATCATCACGAGGATAACCCTTGTTCAAAATAACAATAATGAAATCTAAAAGACTATCCTTGAATTTTTGTTCAAAATTATAATGATAAATATAATGAACAATATGTTTTACACATTTTATAAATTTAGGTTTTTTAGTTTAAAGACAATTTGTATTATCAATAATTTTAAATATATTTCCTAGATAGATTCTCAATAGTATTACCTAGATAACCCAATTATTTTACATATATTTGCGAAATCTATTTGTAGCATCGTCACTAATATTATTTAAGTATAATTTAAAAGAATCCTATAATGACTAAGATCATGGAATCAGATTGGTTAGTGTTCGATGTAACCCTTGTGTGATATGTGGATTGTAAAAGTAAAAACTTAATTTCATTTATTCAACTTTTTAAATTCTAAATCTAATCTAATTACAATTAATTTTTATTATATTTTTTTTATTTATTCCAGGCTCTACTGGAAGCCCACGACGAAATAGCCGAGCGTACATACGAGCGATCCGTTCTTGAAGAAAGGAACGGGCACACCCTTGGGCTTAACTCTGAAGACGAACAAGAAGAGGATATAATGCACGGTGAAGTCTTCAGGGTCGTAGGGCTCCGGAAGAATCCGGACGAACCATTGGGATTGACGGTAAGTGGATTAGTTAAAAATCAATTACTCTACAAGGAGGTAAGAAGTAGGGTTTGTCGGTTTTCAAAAACCGGTTTTAAATACCGTTTTTTTGGCGAAAATTATGGAACTCAAAAACCGGTTTTTTAGTGAAAAAAGCCGGTTTTCACAGTATAAATGGAAAATGACAAATATAGCCAAATATGAAAGATAGATGAAAGCGTTTTGATTCTTGAAATCATATCGGTTTAATAGCATTTGATATCTTATCAGTCTGCAATGGTTCCCAGAAAGGTTTTGTATATATTTAATTTACATTTTTGTACCAGTGTATATAGTAATTTAATATAAAATCAGTGTTACTTCTTTTTGAAGAAGTAACTTCCTCTACTCAAACTTAAGAAAAAGAGTTTTACACCCTAGAAGCCACAAATAAAAGAACAAAAAACTTAGAATTATTATATCAGACTTTAAAAACAATTAAACATAATTTGGTCGCAAGTATGAGAGTATTTTCTATTTCAGGAAATTTTGTGAGTGAACAAAGACACGTCTAAGTAGCAATTTGATTAACGTTCTCACTTTTTTGAAATCGTATTTTATTAAACAAAAAAGCAATTAGAATGTTTAAAATTAATTAATTAAAATTGCTCGGAACAGACAATACCCAGTTTAGCTTAATTGTTTTTAAAACTAAAATTGATATTAACAAGTATGTATCAACATGTATATAATATTTTTTTATTTTATTTTCTAATTTAATTTTTTTATTTAAAAATCTATTATTTCTATTTATTGGAAAACTTTCCATTCACTATCATGAAAATATTTTCATTCTTATATGTGAAAATGATGCATGAATAACGATAAATTATTTTCAAAGATATTTAATCAAGATAAACTATTATTTTTTAGTTCTACTAATTAAAATTAAAATAATTTTGTTTACTATCCATAAAATTGAACAATAAATAAATTCAGTCAAATACTGCTCTAAATTACCCTAAATTTGCAAATAAATTACATAATATTCGAGTAAAATTGATTTTTTATATAAAATTCGAAAACCGGTTAAAACCAGTTTTATAGTAAAATTAAAATTCGAAAACCGGTTTCCTAAAATGTCGGTTTTTGTATAAACCCTAGTAAGAAGGACTTGTGGTCTAATTTATTTATTTCATCGGATTCTGAGCTAATGGACCGATTCTGCCGCAAAACAGACCAATGTTATGGTAAGGCAATGTTATGAAAAACTTTCCATACTGAATTTTGACGAAAGCCATGCAGTTGCTGTGCAGCCAGGTGTATTTCTCAGGTTGTCAGTTAGAAAATCTAACCTAGACATCGCACAAATGTCAAAAAAACGATCTTAGACAACAGGGTCTTTCTGACTCAGCTTTATAACATACGAGTGACGTTGCAGTTTATGTGTAAAACACTTGAATGCACAGCAAATGCATGACATTTTGACAGTATTCAGTATGATTCAGTAATATAATGTATGTAAGTTGGAGCGTAACATGGTCTTGCCATAACATTCTTCCGTTGTGCGGCAGAATCAGCCCATAGAATGTTTTTCAATTGAAACAATTTCTGTTACATACGTATCAGTAGTACTAGGAAGTAGAGTTAATATTCAATTACAATTATTTTATTACATTTCTAGGTTCAACTCGACGATCAAGACAATCTAGTAGTCGCGCGCATTCTAGGAGGTGGCGCTATAGCCAGACAAGGTCTTCTTCAACCAGGAGATGTGATCGTAGAAGTCAATAGTAATACTGTAAATTCACCAGAAGAGCTTCAAACCCATGTCAATAGAGCCCGAGATTCGGTCACATTTAAGGTGGCCCCTGCAAGTACTTCCAAAGGAGCCTCAGTGGATCTGCAACACATGCAAGGACAGGTAACCACAACTGGATACGATGGAAAGAAATTGACGGTAAGTAGTGTAGGAATGGTTTTGTGGGGCTTATTGGTGTAATTGATATATACCGGTTGTTACAACAACAAAAGAAAATGCTTTAGGCAAATCTGATTAATTAATCGGTATAAAATAATATACCTGTTAGACCAAATGGTCCAGAACATGTTCTAATTGAATTTACATGAAAAACATCGTAAAGTCTGCTTACCATCTATATCGAATTCAATCAAATTTTTTTAAAGTTCTGACTTTTTTTTATTTGCATAGATTTATTGCCGATCAAAATAATATACATTTTTAAAGATAATATGCTGGGTCTAAATGCATTTTAGAGAGTATCTCCTATGAGATACCTATTTTTTAAAGTTCTTTTTAATCAGATTTTAATCAGATTTTTTTAATCAGATCACATCATATAAAGGTCATCTTTAAAACTGCCCAATGTGACTAAATTGTTTGCAACTGGCCATAATTAATTAAAATTCACCTACATCCCAGTTTCTGATTTAGATTATGGTGGTAGTGCCTCTTTAATAAGCATTTATTATATTTTATACAATATTTATTTATTTGCAACGACATCTTATTAAATTTATAACCGCAAAAAATATTAATTTTGAATGGAAATAATTATTATATTTGTATAAACAGAAAATTAGAATAAATTGAAGAAAAACAATTAATATTCACACATTCCAATAGGCAATGTATACAATTAATGCATTGTTATAACAATGCCAAATATTAATTAGATATCTAAGGAAATTAATTATACCCATGTATATTTATTATTTTTTATTAATAATATGCATCTGCTAAATCTTGCATATCTAAGCATGCTTTCCCAATTAACGTATGGGCATCGAAAAAAAAACATGTTTACAATGTGAGCATGTGTATTTAATATTAACATTAATTATCAATATTTTGCAAGACTGTTGTAATAAATATATATGCCATTAATCAATAGTAGGACCTTGTTTATATTCGATTCTAACTCTTCTTTATAATTGATATTTTGTGCATGGCATGATCTTTTCACTGTATTGTCGTTAAAAATGTATTTCGAGTTTAAAATACGATTAAAACTATAACTATATAATCATATATATTTATATATACATGAAATTAATTATTATTTAACTATTAATTATTTCGAGATGCACAACTGAATATTATAACAATAGTTGATTAATGAAGAGACAACTGCTCTATCGTAAATTTTTCAGGAATAGAATATTTAAGAGCAGTTGTGGTTTTTTCAAAATTAATTATTTATTATTTGAATAAATTTTTTATTATAAATAGGCGATTAAAATTTTCATTTATAGCTCAGAATTGTAATTTAAAATAGTTGTACTTATTTAATATTTAATCATTATACGACAAAGTATGATATATCAAAATCAATTGGTTTGCTATAGAATATCCAAACACTAACAATTAAAAAACTACTTTTAAATACTAATCATTTTCTATTATTTCGATATCATATGAATAAAACAGTTGTGCATCAATTCTATGTAATTTTAAGTACTTTCTCTATTATAAACAACAAACAGTTATTAAGCATGATTAATATTATGCATGTAGTTTGCATAATATATGTATCGTACGTATAATTTATGAGAAAAAGGCAGCAAATCCAGGAAATGGTAAGATCTAAAATTTTAAGTTAATATCATTAAATTATAATATAAATCGATAAGTTATTAAATTATTAGGTATATTTTTGTCTAATGTGAGATGTATTTTGCAGTGCTACATGCGAGCTCTTTTTGATTATTATCCGAAAGAAGATTCCTTACTGCCTTGTAAAGAAATTGGTTTAGAATTTCAGAAAGGAGATATATTACAGGTATTAAACCTTTTATGTGCACATTTCTTATAACAATTATTTTTGATTCCTTAATTTTTTCAAGATGTTCAACGGTCTTTAATTTACTATAGATAATGTTCATTTTATTGTCCAATGTACTAGTCGCATTGTTTTTTCGAACGTGGCGGCATGTTCGAGCCTAACAAATTTTATGCCCCTATCTTCTTCTACTTGACACTAATAGAATAATTCCTACCCTACTATAGGTACTAAGCTAGTTATAAGAAATTTATTCAGCCTGTACGAATACCTTGACCCGAAAACATCTAATATATCTTACTAAAATTGAATACATTACATTTCTACAAACAATTTCTGAACTAGTTTTTATTTTCTGGTCTGATATAGCCTTTTTGATAATTAATTATATCTGGTTTTTCGCAGCAATAAAGTGTCCGTGTGTAGTGTTTTTTTTTTTTTTTTAAGTTTAGTATAGATAGTATTTATTTGGTAACCGATGTGAATGGTTCTAATGCGTACCGAAATGAATAAATTTCTTATAACTAGCTTAGCAGTTAGCACCTATAGTAGGGTAGGAATTATTTTATTAGTGTCAGATAAAAGAAGGTGCATGAAATTTGTGAGGCTCGAACACTTGTTATACAATAAATATATTATAATATGCTAAAAATATAAATAGATTAAATTATAGTATATATCTGGCGACTAGGTGACTATTTTTAATAAATATATTTTTAATTTTTCAGATAGTAGATAATAAAGACCCAAATTGGTGGCAGGCCAAGCACGTCGGAGGCTTAGGACCTGCAGGTTTGATACCATCTCAAGAACTCGAAGAAAGGCGACAGGCCTATGTCGCTCCTGAGGCTGATTATGTACATAAAATTAGCATATGTGGAACAAGGGTAAAAATACGACTCTAACTATTATATATTGATTTGTTATTGAAATATCGAATAATCGAAAAGCTTGTGTTGTGTAATTGAATTGAGAATTTTTTTATTGTTGGGTGAAGTTAGCCTTTTAAATAGTAGTAATGGAATATTTAATTTATATATATTTTGTATAATTACAATAAATGAGTCTAAACTAATAAATATTGTTTCTCATTAAAAATTTATATTTTTTCTAGATATCGAAAAAGAAGCGAAAAACAATGTACCAATCACACAGTAACAACCAGTTCGATAAAGCCGATATAATGTGCTATGAAGAAGTGACCAGAATGCCTCCCTTCAAACGAAAAACATTAGTTTTAATTGGATCTCAGGGAGTGGGTAGAAGGACGTTGAAGAATCGACTGATAAATAGCGATCCAAATAAATTTGGAACCATTGTGCCTTGTAAGTTTATTTCAGGAATCACATTTTCATTAGAGATATCAGACTAAATTTCTTTGTAATTAATCAAAGAAATGCTTATATTCTATTATTATTATTATCAGGGACGTCACGACCTCCTAGAGTTTTGGAAGAAAATGGGCGCAGTTATTGGTTCGTGGACCGGGAGACTATGGAGAACGAAATCAGGGAACACAAATTTTTGGAACATGGGGAACACAATGGGCATCTTTATGGAACACATTTAGACACAATTCGGGATGTCATAAAACAAGGTTCGTATTTAATAAAAAAATGTTTGATCAAACTTGTAATTGACTCAAGATTCAACAGCATTGAACAACCAGTTTCTAAATAAATTATTTTATATGATTCTTTTTTTTAGGAAAAATGTGTGTATTAGATTGCGCGCCAGGTGCATTGAAACTTTTGCATAACAGTACAGAATTTATGCCTTATGTTGTTTTCATCGCAGCCCCTGGAATGGAGCAGCTCCAACAGATGTATAATCATTTCAGATCAACAGGAACATCTAGTCGCAATCTCACGGTATGTATTTTGTAAAGAAATTTATTTATTGTATGCTTGTTGTTGTTAAAATAGCCAAGATTTTTTAATGTGCAGTTTGCATTTCAAACAAAAATTGTTAATGATTTTTGGATAAAATAACGAGCATTTTAGATGATTGTTTTAGGTGTCTCTAACTTCTGAATTTGAATTCTGAATTTTGGCTTTTAATGCTGTATGATTTTATAAATTTGATAAAATTATTAATGCATTTAACTATGCTATGATAGGTGCATTTAAGATTTGAAATTATCATTTAAATCGTTTATGGATGTCGATTAGTGCATCCATTTTACTACTGTACTCTTTATGAGAGCTGAAAACAGTGACTATATTTTTTTATTTATCAGAACAAATTTTGAATAAACATAATTCATAAGCTTTTATAACATATTCTATGTCTTTGATGTACGTGCAATGAACTCTCTTTCCCCATCAATGCAAAAAAATTATGCTGCCAATATTATAATTACTCTTTGGCATTTATTACTTTTCAATATATTTTATATTTGACTCATTATTAATTTTTAAACAATTTAAATATTGAATTAATATTATTTGTAAGACATTATAAATAATTATCTATGCATGATATAAATCTAAAAAAATATAGATAATTGTATATATTTATCATAAATCAGGCCTGATTGTTATATTGCATGGTCAAATTTCAATAATATTGAGAGTGATTATTAGCGTTTATGTTGATGATATATAAATTAAAAAAGAATTTCTAAGATAATATTTTGCATATAGGATAGATTAATTTGTATAAATGTTGCATGTGTTATGTTTTTGTTAATTGTTTGTTTCATGTGGCATGCCATGAGCAGTTTGACAGACAAAGTTCCATCAGATACAGTTCGAGAAGGGCTAGGACCCTTGAGTCTCTTGCTTCTTTGTACGAGGTAAGAAATTATCAAAAATAATAAAATGAATAAAATTATAACCATAAAAGTTGATTCACTAACTATGTACCCAAAACCAACTATATATATATATATATATATATATATATACATATAAATATATATATATAAATATATATATATATATATATATTCATTACCTAGTTACTATTTTAACCCTCTAGGGGCGATTTTTTGTTTTACACCCAAAAAAACTAGGAAAACAAAAAAATCTGTATTTATAAGACAATATATGCAAACGCAAAACAAAATCTCTGTTTGAACAAAATTTGTGTTATAAATAAACTATTTGACTTCCAAGTCACAGCCTATAATGTTCGGCATGAAATTTTTTAATTCAGGTTCAAAAGCCTAGCCAAAATTATAGATATTAATATTGGTTATCTTGATAATATTGTAGGATAAAGATTTATGCATAATTTCACAAAAAAAAATTATAATTATTTATTAAAATATAAAAAATAATTAGAATGTGACTTGAAAGTTATGAGGGTCCCTAGAGTGTTAAGATAGTCAGCTCTTTCTGCTAGAAAAAATATAGCAATTGTCTTTGTTTTTTGATAAATATTTTTGTTCATAAGAGTAATAGGATGATAGTTTGCAAAAAGTTAGTGATCTACTAAAATTAAGTTCCATCTTTTTTACGGCAGAAATTAGGGGGTGTCCATTAATCACGTGAGCTTTTTAGGGGGACAGGGGGTTTGACAAAAAATTAGGAAATATCATGTGGGGGAAGGAGAGGTATAGTAAAATATTACGTGTATTCAGTTTTTACATAATTTTTTTTTAAAAAAATCCAAATATTTAAAAAAAATTTAAAACTTACAATTTTTTCTCGTAACTAAAAATATTCGTGATGTTTGGTAGGGGACGGGGAGTAATTTTTAATATCACAAATCACAAAAAGAGAGGGGGTTTCAAAAATTTTTAAAAAGTCGATCACGTGATTAATGGACGCCTTATGTGAACATCGTATATTTAAAATATAATTTTTACTTGTTATAAAACATTACCTTCTAAAAAATGATACTTGTTTAAAATATTTTTTAACTGAACTTTTCATAACTCTCAAATAAAAATATATTCTCAAATTTCAATAAATAGTAAAATGCTATATATATATATATATATATATATATATATACATATACATATATATTGTTGCAAATATTACAAATATATACTTTAAACAGGTATAGTTTAAAGTATATACTTGTAATATTTGCAACAATATATATATATATATATATATATATATATATAGTATTTCACATATATATGTATATAATTATTATTATTTAATTTGGATGACTGAACTTGAAAATTCAAGTATTAACAAAAATTTGCAAATTATAAATAATTTTGCAAAATGTGCAGCTTGTTTGATCAAGTGCGATATAATTATGCTTAGTTGGCAATGTAATAAAAGTGGGTCAAATTTGATCACATGGTTCTACTATGGTTACTATCAAATCAGGGGCTTCCAACAAACGTTCCAAATGTTGATGTATTGATGAAAATAAGTTAATATTGCAGAAGAAAATTTTTGCTAAAATTAAAATCTAGTAATATATTGCATACTGACTTTTATTAAAGCACTGAGCATTTATTAAAACTTGCAGTGATATGAATTTTAATAAATTTTTCTATAATATAATTTTCCTTTCTTTCATATTTTTTTAAGAACAAGAGTAATTCAATGCCAGATTATTTAATTATAAAAACAGTAAATTGAATAATTTTGTAAAAATTGGAAATATCATTTTTCATTTTATATTAAACCCCGCCGTGGTTTTCAGACTGTGGGGTGCTCAGAGGGCGTACAGCTGTTTCCAAAATACTATTATCAAAAATAAAAAAAATGTAATTATATAAAAAATTGAACAAAAAAATAATTATTTTTATGCATATTTTTATATATTATTGCATATTAATTTGTAGCCTGATAATACTAATTTAGTATTTATGAAACGAAAAGGATGAAAAATCAAAGGAGCGCAACATTTTTTTGGTAGAATGGGGAAAGGGCTGAGCGAAAAAGGTTGATTACTATATACATAATAAAAAATATTATTTCATATAATAGATTTATCCAAGTGCAAAATAATTTTACAAGAGTTGGTCATACCTGATATTCTGTACCCATTTAATTTGTAAGCGATTACACAGATATGAAACTTAAAAAAATTTAACATCAATCAGACTCTAGTAAAAGATAAAAGTTACGGCACAGGTCAAGATCGTCACTTCTATACTGAGGTCATCAATTAATTGCATCTGCAATTTCCATTAAATAAAGAGAGAGTTTTAATACACTCTTCAAATCTCATTTTATTATGTTCAATGGAAAAAATTGAATAAATAGTTATAGGTATTGAAAAACCATTCATTTCATTAAGAAGTTAGGGGCGTTAATTACGTAATAGATCTTAGGAATTTTTGGATTTTCTCGCTCTTGATGATACACAGTGATTTTTTTAAATTAAACCTCTTCCTCCCTATCTGACATCACGTGCATTTTTAGTTTTACTAAATTTGATTTTTTTTAATTCAGGTGAAAAAGAAATGTATGTAATACTTTACAACTCATTTCGTAATTTTTTTTTGATAATCTACCCACCTCCTCTTTTTAATCCACATATTTCTTGCACAAAATGACCAACATTATCAAATTTTTTTTTCCTGGAAGATTTAAAATGATCTAGCAATATTTTAACTCTTATACCATCTTCGTAAATCATTGTTAAATTTCAATGTACCGTTGTGTAATGTTAAAAGTATTGCCGAATAATTACATATAAAATTGCGGGTCATTCGTAGTCAAAATTATACTGTTAGGAATTCATTAGAAAGTTGTTGGTGTGAATCGTGAACTCGTTACTCCAGATAACAAAAGAAATAAATAAAAAGTTAAAGTCGATGAATTTGATATGTAGATTTTGATTCAATGAAAATTATTTCATGTTCATATTCTAGTGCCACATCTTTACCAATAATATTGGTGTATTATAAATAAAGATGAATAGATGCTGTAATTATTTCTCTACTGAACCCAGTAGAAAAAAAATTATAACTATTGTTTATTATTTCACAATTAAAAATTAATTTTCTAGAAAAATTGTAGAGTTACAATTTACCCTGTCAATAATACCTACTATTATCAATGCATCATTTTTACTTGCATCTGTATGTAATTTTGCATATTTAGAAGGTTTTGTTTCAACTAACCCCAGTCAATAATATTACAGCGAATCGAAATTTCTTGATAGTATAATTTCATATTACATGCCAAAAGATGACGGATCTGCACAGTTCTGTATATTGCCTCGGCTTGCTGGACAGTAACCGAAACAATATTATGCAAAACGATTTACATGTCCAATTCAGACAAAAAATAGTTTAATATCGTTAAAGATCCTAATGAAAAGCTCCTGTTACAATAAGCCCCTAGCTTCTCATATACATATTACTATTTATATGCAAAATTAAGAGCAGCCGATCTTAAAATTTCATGGCAATTTTGAAAAATAGTTTTTCTTCCTACTTTCCTAATCTAGTGCAACTTTGTTTCGTTTTTTTAAACATTTTCTATAATCTTTTAGGCAATTTTAATATTTTTTTTTAATAAATGTTACAAGTCCGATTTTTATCTCATCTTAACAGGAAGACGATTTAAGAAGAACAGTTGAAGAAAGTGCTTGTCTTCAAAGAACATACGAAAAATACATCGATATGTCGATCATCAATGAAGATTTCGATACCACATTCAGGGCAGTCGCCGAAGCTTTGGAAGCTCTCAGTTCGGAGCACCAATGGGTTCCTGTAAACTGGATATATTAGCTGGTAATAATCTAAAAAAATATATTTTTTGTAAATATAACGAATACGTGAAAAATTTTGTGGACTAATAAGAAGAGACCCTAAGCTATAATCTTTTTTAGTTGTGTACCCATAATGACTAGTACCTCCAACTTTTGTAGGTATAATATCACAACTACAAAAGTTATGAATTATTATCATTTATATTGCCAATAGAAAGAATTTTCGATTTCGATTATAATTTCAATTCGTGTATGAATGTATAATCATATAAGATGAACAACGACATAACTTTTAAACATTTTAAATAGATTATTTAAATATCTAATATAAAGAATATCCAAAATTCGGAGTTCTATTTCAACCGTTCTTGAAAAACGAACTCAGATCATTTAGTGTAAAAACATTAAAGTTTTTTGTTATAAATACATATATTTTGTATATGCATATTGTTATGCAGAATTTTAACAGTGTTTTGAATTATTTTATAATATATATAATAATAGTATTTGCAAAATTTAACAATACTACGTTAGATAAATCTTATTGATAAATAAAGACAAATACCTAGAGTAATAAATTTTTGTATTAGTTTTGCAAAAACATAGTATTAAAATTATTGAAACCTTGATGAAATCTGTTATTATTTGGATCATTTTTAAACATCTGTTTGTTTAAAGATGAATTTAAATATAACGATTGATAATAAGCATTTAAATTAATTTAAATAATTTGAATAAAATTTATTTGAAATAGGAGTAAATAAAAATATACTGCCCATATAAAATATGTAAATATAGCTTAAATACGATTTCCAATCGCTATATCATTTTCTCATAAGCTATATAATTATATACATAAAGAGTCTATTAATTATTTTTATTATTCATTATTTTAATTACGAGTTATATAAAAGCCTATGTACTACTTATATTGTTAAGAATATTATATATAGAAAGAGATTTGATTAGGTATGATCTCAATATCCTAAAAATTCAGTATCTGGTTTCTGTAAATCTCGAATGCATCTTTTCTGAAATTTGTTGGCAAATTTTGGAAAATTTGACTAAATATGTATAGGAATATGCATGAGTTATAAATATTTATACAAGATAAGAAATATGTATATGCTCCCAGTATTAACTATATAAAAAGTTTATAAAAAAAGTTTTTATTTTATAATTTTTATGAGAGACTGCGGAATAGTTTTTTTTATATAAAATGTTAGATTTTATTTGTTTTGCCATTTTTATTACTTAAAACGCAAATAAATAATTTTAAAAATGCTTTTACACTATGATACTTTTCTTGTTTTTATACTACAAACTTTAGAACTACAATTCGAAATAGGTTACATAAATTAAATTAAAAGTAAAAATATTAATGTTAGAGATATTTTGCATAATTTTGTGAATTTATATTTTCCAACGCAAGTACTAAAACCGTTGATGTATAAAATTATAAACTTTACATATCCATTAATTAATTCTGGTAACTTCAATTAATATATTAAACAAACTATTTTTATAAATTTTCAAATTGTAAAAATATCTACGCATAAAATATTTCATATTATTACCTAAATTACGTAAAATATATTGTAAGATATAAAAATCTATAATCTTATTGCAGTATTTTATGAACCAAGTTTATTATTAAATTAGTTACTGTTACTTCTGTTATAATTATAATATTTTCTTTAGAATTGTGTCATTTAGCAATATGTTATACCTTAATAGTTTAAAGTAAAAAAAAAACAAGCAAATATTTATGCAACTTAATTCTGGTAATTAATTCAATCATGCACCATTCTGTCACTAAAATGTGGCTTTTTAATTAAATATATACATAAAAATTTCAATTACCATTTTGACATCTTCTACAAAAAAATATCTATCATTAAAGTTGTTAAGTTTAGTGATACTTAAATCGTTGCGATTTATATATAAATATGATATATGTTTGAAATAACTAATTGCCTGAAGTATGTATAGATGTAAGCTGAAATAGAAAGTTTATTTAAGTTTAATTAAACATTCAAAGTAAATAATATTTGCCATTGTTAATAACTTATAAAAATTTCAGTAAAATAAATATATTTCAAAACAATATATAGTGGTTTTCAAATAATTCAGATGGGGCGCTTTAATTCTCTAATTTAGATATGATTAACGTTGTAGTACCCTTTTTTTTATTTTTGATAATAAATGATGTGTAAATCAAACAATATGTCTAAAGTAAAAAATATAAAATTTATTAATTACAAAATTTTATTATTATGATTTTTGAAAAAATGGCGGAGGAAAAGTTATGAGGACCAAATAAGCCCGAACACATATTTCGAATTATTTATAGTTAAAAAAAGAGTATATTGAAATGATAAATTTATAAATTTGAGTATGATGGATTTATTTGTGATGTGACGAAAATATCTCATTTTAATTCTTTCTTCTCCCTTGTTTAAAAGCAAATTATTTATCTATGGTTTATTGTCGCATCTTTGCAATAAATAAAATACAGCGATATTCAATTGTTTTTATTTTTGGTATTAGCATAGCCTGTCAGGTATAGTGAAGATAATTCAGTGAAATAATTGCTCCTTCATAATTATTAGTGCGTTACTGTTAAAACTCTTTAATAAAAATATATACATGTAAGTATTTTCACAGGGCAATATCAAAAAATATTACACTTTATTAAATCATACGGCGAAAAAGTCCATATATTTATTACATGCTATCTTCTATTGATATTAATGTTTCAAGTTGTTAATTGTTAATAAATTTACAAACTACTAGTGGAGTGCATGGCATCGTGCCTTAAGGCAAATTGCTGAAACTTCTCGTACCGTAATAGAAAATCTTGGTACGGAACCAAAAAAATTTACACAAAATATTTACACAAAATGTGTACACATTATTAAAATCTCTATAAAATATCTGATAATTTGATGTACATATATCCAATAAACATTTTGACCGCCAAATGACGTTTTTTAACTTATTTTTATTGAGATAATTGCCTTCCCAAAAATTTAATCAGTTCTTCATCTTGTCAATACAAGTAAAATGATTTTTGAATTATTAAAATCGGACGCTCAGTTCTCTTAAAGTGCCTCTCGTTTTTGGCACTTTTTGCCCCGCATCTTCGGAACGGCTAGACCTGCCTTCGCCAAAACTAATCAGCACGTCACCTCATCAATACGAATCGAATGTCTTATGAATTATTCAAATCGGTTGATCGGTGTTCCCAGAAATCGTCGACGAAAATTTGTTTCCGACACACACACACATACATCCATTTTTTCTAAAGTATGTCGAAATATTCAGAAACCTTTGAAACGTAAAGATATATAAAAATTTTCATTTTCGATTTTTTTGCGATTACTATAACTTACCCTACAGGAAGTTAAAAATTATTCACTATTTAGCTACAAAGCCAGTCAGATCTTCATTTGAGATTGTGTGCCTAAACTCTAAAATATGAGTAAAAATTGCCACCCGGGACATGTAGAAGAATAATAAAAGTTAAAAAATGATATTAAACTATAATAATGTCAATAAGAAAGAGCTACAGGGTTGCTTTCTAAACAGCTATCTGTTAGCTGTAACCGAATGTTTTTGGGTTTTTCAATGTGTAATCGTTAAAGCTATTATTTTCAGTCGAATGCCACCAAAAAAATCTAACCTCAACAACAGGCGGAGCAGGGAGGCTCAACGCAAACGTCTACAAAGAGCTAATCAGTCGGCAGAACAAATGCAGCAAAGGCGTGCAGCAGAAAGACTCAGGATAGCCGCGGTTCGTTCACGAGAATCTCAGGAACAGCGTTGCGAACGTTGCTGCAGAATGCTCTGAGAAGAAAAGCGGCACAAAGACGAAGCATAGTTAAAGCTAGAAAAGAAGAATTGCAGCGGCAGCGGATCTCCTGGACATTAAGACGTGCTGCACTTGTTCCTCTTGAAGTATGTAAAAATTTACACAAACATTTCAGATTTATAATGATTAATTTATATGTATGTACTAGAGATAGGCTTATCATATCCGAAGCCGGATCGACTCGGATTTGACTCCGCTTCAGGGAGGAGTTATATCCGCTTAACAACTCTACGACTCCGACAACTTTGAAACCGAAATACTCGACACAAATGTTTTCTATAGTACGTTGTTTATGCATCTAAGGATTTGTCAAATCCCATTTAATTTTTTTAAATAAAAATTTATGAATAAAATAAAATTAAAAAATATCAATAAAATAATCTTTCTAAAAAATTCACAAATAAATGACGAGTGTAAAAATTAAATTTTTCGGTCGACCACATGATCGATTCAATGACTCGTAATTTTAACAGTGTTGATCAAAGTAAAAGCGCAAAACTTGAGAATCAAATTCAATTTAATTATTTTCTTTTGATGAGAAAATGATTGATTTTTTTGAATTAATTTTATATAAAAATAATGTAGTTAACTTTGTAATAAAAGCAAATCATTTATCAGCAAATAATACTTCTGCTTTCTAATTTTTTCTTCTGCTATTTCCATTCGAGAATTAATATTATATCGGGTAGTTCTATTAGCATATTATTGCTTTTACGCAATTATATAATTGTGTAAAAGTAAAAATTTAATACTATATATTTTTTTGCTGCTTAAATACTATTGACGTCACTGATATATTTTGCACTCTAAAGTATTGTTATTTCAGGCTATGGAAAAACCAGATTAAATGTATTTTGTTTCGTGTATTTTTCGGTATGTATATTCCTGATTGCCGTCATTTACGGCCAAAGATTGTCGTAGTTAGAAATATGACCCCTTACTATTCAATAAATTATACATTTGAGCTATTCACACTTGAATACAATTTCATTGTTCTGTATCTTTAAAGTAACATTTTTGTATTTTCTGGAAAATACACAATGGTATTTATTTTGACTTTTATACCTAAAAAAGGTCATAAAACTGCCTGCGAGACAAGAAAGTGACCGCTTCTTTCCCAAATCAAAAACGACAAAAACACTAAATGCCTGTACGATTTAACAGATTTAATACCAGTTTAACGAAGTCGGATATGACAAATCCGGTGAGACAACTCCACTCGGATTCACTCCGAGGGAGGAGTTGTATCGGAGTGATAACTCCGGAGTGAGTTACCCATCTCTAGATGTACATACCTACAATTCGAATTTTTGCATGATTAATGCTAAAGTTTAGTATATATATGTAGTGTAATCTAAAAAGATATATGTTTATATAAGGAAGTTTTAATTTCTTAATAAACCTTACTTTCGTTGATATTTATGTATGTATTTGCTATTGTTATTAAATACACAACATTATTCTTCATACATTTGATTATCTGGATTTTCGATTATCCGAATGCCTATTGACAACAATTAGTACGGTTAATCAAAGCTCTACTGTACATTCAAATTGTAATATGTTATATATATGCGTGTGTGTAGTCGTGCATATCCTCCACATCTTTAAGCATTAATTCATGGGGGAGGATCAAGAATGCCTATTTAGTGCGATTCGCTCTCCTTTTTTCTATGTAACACAACTCCATGAGGACTTTCTTTAATAAACCGATTTTACTATAATTAACGCGACTTGTGCAATTTCATCCGAGTCTAAAGAGCAAATTCATTCGACTCTAGCTTTTATCTCTATTAAACCTAGAGAAGAAAAGCGATTGTGATATTGTTAATTTTTTTAGAAGATCAGAATTAACCAATTTCAAATAAGTCTCGCCACGATTCCTAATGAGCCACTATCGAATCATGCCAAAGGGCGATGAAGAGCTATTAGATGAATATCCTGGTAGATGCACCATCCAACTTTTGTGGGGTTGGTGGGCTCGCCCGCAAGTAAGAGGTTAGGAGCGACAGGACTTGTTTCAGAGGTCCCGGGTTCGAAACCCACTTCGAGCAGCCTGTTGTCAGGCAGCAGTGACAACGATTTTTACTTGGAAATATAGATAACAATATGTTTCCAAGTAAAATAGCCTTCACCCGGCATTGCTGCACCATTAAAAATACTCTAAAACAGAAATTGTAATAATAATATATCATGCAGAGATGTGACAACTGATTGGGTTGCCATCTGTCAAACAGACTAGTATTAAGTCAAAATCAGCACAACAGCTTATAGGACTATTCGGTTCTGATTGCTGTTCAAAAAATAATAAAAAAAATAAGTTTGGTGATTCAGTAGACCAAAAAAATAATAATACGTATATTGATGGTTATCTAATATACATTGACAGTTATCCAATGTACCACCGAAGAAATACTGATAATGATAGTCAAACATTTATAATGCGACTGCCCAATATTACAAATTCTGTAATGCCCAATGTTTAGAACTATGGGCAGATATCAATTTCAGACTTCGCAGTTCTGCAAATTTAATTGTAAATATATTTATAAAAGCAATGATCTCGATATATTTAAAGTACAAAACATAAACAAAAATGATGAAGTAACAATGGCAAATGGGCAGATACATCATCAGCAACAAATCAAAAAAGCATTCTTGAGTACCTTAAATTGAAAATATCTTGAAAATGGTTAAGTTTGGAAAAATGTTGTCCAAAGAGTGCCTAAGGCTTTGAAAAGAACACAAACTGATTTTTTGTACGTTTAGTCGAAATTATGGTACCTTAGGTAAATTATATTAAAATGCTCTATAAATATCACATAATCAGTACTTCGACAAGTTTTTTTTTAATTTTTATATTTATAAAATAATATATTAATATTTTCAATATTTCAACTTTGATGATGAGTTAAATCACAGTCTCGAAACATTTGTAACTTGAAAAATATATATAGTGATGTTCGTGTTCATACTAATATAATTAATATAATGTACGTTAAATTGAACGTACAATATATTGATAAATCATCTGAAAAGTATGTGTACAAATATAATAATTAATTGCCATAATAAATATTGATTTTATTAGTATTTGATTCCTTAACCCCGTCACTCTGTGTTCGTTTTGCCATGAATTTCATCAATTCAATTTCAAATCTACCGGTCGCTGGTCTTTAATTCTTTCCACCAATCGCGTGAGAGGGCATTGGCATTTGACGCATGCGCACTAGTTCACTTCTGGCACTTAGAATTTCTGCGTCTGTTTCGTATAATGTGCGTTGTGTGGCAATAGCGTGAATAACGCTAAGTCCTCATAAAATCTTGGACTTAGAAAATTGCTCAGTTAAAAAGTGCATAAGACAGGATAATGAGTGTGATAATACCACTGCCGAACCGAATTCTGGAATTGTAAGTATATTAATTGCTCGTAATAAGAAGAAATTTAGATTTTATACTGTATATTTTGTGATATAATGCCTTGTTTTTCATTTACGAGATATTGTGAGAAAATGGCGTCCAGCGACTAAGTCCCAGAGCATACGTATATGAATGCTTGGAAAATATCTTAGTGAAATATACTATGTGAAAATATAAAATTTGCTTTCAAACTAATATTTTTCAAGATCTTGCAAAAAAATCATTCAACAAAAAATATTAATTTTTAATTTTTGCAAAATATAATTTACTTAAACATTGTTATTCACATACAATTTAAATAAATAATAAAAAAAATATCACTTAATCCTTCAAATAAATACTTTCTTAAAATTTATCATAATATGACACTTAACATTTTGTGTACCCAGCACCCAAACTTTGATACCTTTATCTTTTAAACATGCCACATAGTAATTTTTTATTATTTTAATTGTGTTGATTAACTAATCGGCTTTCAAGTAATTGTAATTCAATTATATTTATTATATGGTACAGTTATTATAGGTTATGTCACACCGTAATACGTCAGATATTGTCAGAGTTCCTTAAACCTTCTTTCTCAACATCACTTGAAAAATGAGAGTAAAACTATAATGAAATACTCTATCATCACTATAAACGACCTATTTTCGGATAATTAGTAACCATTTTTTAAGACTTCTAGAATGGTCCACATGTGAACTTGAACGTCCATAAGATTGCTCATGTTTATATAAAACACCGCCAAGTCATACTTATTTAAAATTATTTTTATTTAAATATTGCATTAATGGCTATATTTTTCTGAAGTCTATTTTATTCATTGAACATACCCATAGTTTTGTTGATATAAGTTTTCCAATATATATATCACTCTACAGGATTAATTTAGATGTCTTGATTGTTCTGCATATTGATTTTTACATACATTTGGAGCATTATATTTAATTCTTTTGCTCATATTCCTAACTAGATATAAATTATGAAGCAGAACATTCAGATTTGTCTCAATTTATAAACTACATAGAGAACTGAATCACTATATAGTCTCTATTCTTAATCAGCTAAATTGTTAAACCAATAATTTGAAATTAAATATTATATATATAGTTGTTATGTATAATTATCCTCATTATTTTTCTTATTAGCACCAGAATGGAGGAACAGGTGATCATATCAATGGTGTAACCAATGGTTATCCAGAAAAGCATAAATCGAGTCACAATCTTCATCTCATGACAAACATCGGAGTAAAGATAAAGATAAGGAAAGAAGCAAAGACCATAAAAGCTCTTCCAGCAAACATTCGTCCAGCTCCAGCAGGTTAGATGAATTAAGGTTACTTATACAATAAACATTATGCATGAAGACATCTATGTACAGTTGGAGAGGGTCATTTAGAGTCACACTTAAATTTCCTATTTTTTTTTCATTATTGAATGAATTTTTCTTGATTTTACTATTAGGGATAAGGACAAGCACTCCAGCAGCAGTAAAGACAAAGAAAGAAGTCACAGTCACAAATCCTCCAGCAAGGACAAAGATAGGGAAGGAAGATCAGACAAGGACAAGAGCAGCTCGAATAAGGAAGATCTTCAGACAAGGAGAGATCAGATAAAGATAGATCTGACAAGATAAGCATAGGTCCAAAGAACACAAAAGTAGTTCGAGAGACAAGGATGGGGAAAGAAAGAGTCCAGCAGTAGTATGTTCTCACCGAGATAAGGACAAGAGTAAACACAAACACTCATCGAGCAGCAGAGATCATGATGATAAATCAAGGTAGAATAGTTAAAGTTAATAATAATAAGTTATAAAAAAGAATTTGTCTTGGCTTGATTTTTGTATTTGTACTTCTCTATCTAAACTAGAATATACCTTTATATATTTGCATGCTTTGTTATAATGTTTCTTCTATTATGATTCAATTTCAGAAGTAAAGACAAGGAAGGCAAGGCACAGGGATAGGATAAGGAAAGGAGCAAAGATAAACACAGGGACAAACATAGAGATCGAGAGAGTAGCAGTTCTAAAAGTAAATCAAGTGATAGCGGTGATACCTCAACATCTCAAAGAAGTTGTTCCTTCAGACAGTGAATTTATTAAACCTTCATGGGAATTTTTTTTTTAATATTAAAAATTGACTTCATCGTCAGATTTATTGCTTTCTACATGAAGTAATTGTACAGATAAAACCATTGTTTTTATATCAAGTAAACCTGCTTAATTTATAGTTTTTGTATTAAAAAACATTATTTATATATGCCAGATTTTCAACATATCCAAGTAGGCATTTTATTTGACATAGTTGTTTATGCAATATTTATATTAAAATACAGTCAAACATGTACCAATCATTAATTTAATGTAATCATTCTATAATTTTTCATAAAAATAAAGTTTCTTTGCCATTTTTTAACACCATATAGTACAATTTTCAGAACTGCATTAAGGAGGAATTGAGAGCCAAGAAATTGAGATGCCGTCCATGAAAATTGAAGTAGACGCTCTTCAGCATATGAATCTAAAGCACATTAAATGATTCTCAAAGCTCGTGTGATTATTCAATGACGCAATTCAAAGATGAAGTGAAGGAAGAGCTTCCACGAGAAGGAGGAAGGAATTAGAAAGAAGAAACCTATGAAGATGAGGAAGAAAATAATGAAAATGATCAGGATGAAGATTATGAAGAAAATGTGGAGATCAAGCCAGAAGTCAAAGAGGAAAGAACCAGAAGAAGATAGCGAGGAGGATATTCCATTGGTGAGTGATTCAGGATTTTCATATTTAAAGTAATTAATTTAATTTCCACTCTAGATTACACACTTTTGCTATGAGTCAGTTTTGCTACATATAATGACTACTTGGTAGAGTCATCTCCCATTTTGGGCAATCAAATTCAAATTTTTGGAAACATTTATACAAAATATGTAATTAATATATTGATTTTAGCTTTAATTGGTTTTTAAAACAAAATATGCGGTTTTAGAGTAAATATACTACTGTTAATACCTGATTATTTAATAACTATATTCTTAATTCTGTAAGAAGTAATGCATTTAAATTTTTTCAGAATTTCAACTCCCATAAGCAATTGGTATGAGATTAATAATTTATTGATGTTAATATTGACTGCTAATTCTATTTTTTGTTGCATTTAGTATTTTATTGATAGTATACATGCCTATTTTTAGTTACTTTTTTTCAGCGTGCTGTTATAACAAAACTGCAATAGTTAGTTCATTTTCTTGATATAACTAATAATTTTTATGAAATACTAATTCAGTTATATAGTTTTATTTAATTTTTATTGGCTTTTTACAATGCATAATATTTTGACTCTTAATATTTTAGTAAATTGTCGTTGTATTTCATACATTAAAAAATCCATAATTACTTGTGTAATTTTGAATTGTAGTTGCACATTCTTTGTATTAGTTACGCACATAGATATTACAAGATGCACTTTAATAATTTTGCATTGGTTCTTGTTTTTTTTACAAAATTTACAAAAATAATAAATTTGAAATTGGTTACTCATAAGGGAGGATTTATCTTTCAGAGTGCTAGAGTCAATAATACCAAAAGAAAAATTGTAAGTGAAGAAGATAGTGAGGAAGACGTTCCTATATCACAACGAAAGAAGAAAAAAAACTGAGAAGAAGACTAAAAAGGCTAAGAAACGATCACGTAAGTATAGTTTTTGTTCACATTTGATATTAATTGTATATCAGGAAAAAAATGTAATGTAACTCCTCTGCTAAAACAGATAGATGTTTGACATCATTGAACTTGAGTTAATGGCATTTCTTGTGTGTTTTTTTCAGATGATGATGATGACGATGATTATGATGATGTGAAGCCTGCAAAAACTAAAGTTAAAAAAGAGAAAACAAAAGTGAAGAAAGAAAAAACTCAAACAAAAGTAAAGACAGAAAATGCTACACAACAGAGCCCGACCAAAGGTAGAAAGAAGAAGGTTGAGGAAGAGCAGGAAGTTTGGAAATGGTGAGATCCATTTTTTTGTTTTTACAAATTCATACATATTTCATTTTTTGGTACATATGCTGCTTTTATTGATCATAAATTATTTGTTTTTGTTTCTATATTTGAATAGTTGATTAATTTTCGGTATAATGTTCATGATGATTTTATTTAGTTGTGATTATGAATTTGTAAATGCTATGTCGGTTTAAATCGTTTAACATATTTCGGAAAGGAACAATAACAATTAAGGAAATTTATTTCAAATGGTTACAATATTTAATTAAAATGTAGGTATCTATATAATTCAGTTTTATATGGTACCCAGCATAATTAAAGGTATTTTTTATGTGTCACCGTTGTTAATGTTATTATATTTGAATAGTAATAAATTATCAGGAATATAGCAATATTCGCGATGGATTTGCACTGCTTTCTTACAAAAATACTAGAAAATAATTATAAAAATCAGTAGTGGATGTCACCTCGTGTATTATGTAAAACAAAATGGCCGCCATAACTTCAAACAATTTGTACACCTTGCTGAGTATGTAGTTATTTATCATTCTGTTCTTAGCAATTCTAGCTTAAATCATATATAATTTTGAATTCTATGTAGATAATGTTGATAGCTTCTGTTAGAATTAATTTTGTTCCGGATTCTTTCATTTTTTTAAAATCGTTATATTGCAAATTGAGGTTATGTAAACTTGTTTCTTGTCAATTCAGATATTTTATACATACTTCCAAAACCAATTCCGCAAAGCCATTACATAAGAAACAGGTCGTTAGGTATAAATACTACCTTTA